AAGACGAGAGCAGACTGTGCAAATTTAAATGGATTGCCTACGAGCGTTCAGAACTGCTCCCATGAGAAAGAACAAGACCTGTGTTTCACAATTCAAAATTGCGCAATAATTATTCTTGTGACACTGAATTGATTTCAGAAAATTGTTCTGAGTTCCCGGCAGGAAGATCCTCCTTTTCAAATCCACTTCCAAACCGGTTCCAGAGCCAAACTGGACTATCTATTGGCCGTTGGGAGCTTTCTTGCTAATGGCAGAGCGGCGGGGACCTTACCCTGATTTCGACCTGCAGTAGAGATTCAGCTGTAGTTCCCCGATACGCCTTCGTGGCTCTACGCTACCTCCATTCTTCGAATTTCCTTAGCGTTCAACATTCGGATCCACGTGATACCATTTGTCAGTGTGAATATCTGTGATAGTGCTTGATCCTTACAGCGTCATTAGATCCCTTTTCCAACATACAATACGAACTGAAACTCCCATATTTTGAACACAGGAATTTTCTTCTGTAAGGTTTACTTTTCAAGGTATGACGTACTCTCAAAGAAGTTAAAGAACAATCAATATGAAATGTTATTGTCTATAAGTTGCTATGCGCTCTCTGGATACAGCTGAGCTGACACACACTGGAGTGTCCATATGTTAGGCCTATATCTTCAGAATTAGTGAAAGAATTGTAACGAAATTTGTTGTACTTTTCCATCTTATACATTTTCGGATGAATGTAATTTTGGTTTGAACTACATGGGTCACAAATGGAAGTAAAACAGCTGTAATGGACGTAATAGATTTTGTATGTGCATCACTAGGCAGCAGCACAGTCCAGCTTCATGACAGCCTAGGTAGCAGACGCACATGCGCATATTCAGAGGCTGGTTTTAATAGTCAGAATTGCGAACATGATTGAAGGGTATACTACCGAAAAGAGACGTTCTGTTGTGCGTTCTTTGTGGGAAAGGCGACTCAATGCAAAGATATTCATAAAGAAATGTTTCCTATTTTAGGTGGGAAATGTTTATTGCGTAAACAGTTCACATCAGGGTCGACAGATTCGAAGGAACTGTGCAGCGGGTGGAAGAGTTGATTCAGATTGATAGGAGGAGACAGTACAGAAACTGCACTAGGGTGTTTCGGGAAGTGTACGCTCGGTGGGTGCCCAGAGAACTGAAGAATCAGCGGAGAAACAAAAGACTCGAATGGATCTGTCCTTGCAACATCTCTTACAGTATGTAGATGAAGGAGAAGATATGTTTAAAAGGATTGTTACTGGGGACGTATCATGGGTGCATCACTATCAACCCGAATCAAAGCGTGATTCAGTGTAATTGAAACATCTCAGTTCACCTACAACCGAAACGTTTAAAATTACGCCATCTGCTGGAAAGGTTATGCTTACCGTGTTTTGGGATTCTCGGGGAGAACTGGTAGCCTATTTCGAGAAGCGTCGTGAAAATGTAAATTCTGCATCGTACTGTGAAGTTCTGTTGAAGCTTCGGGGTGCTGTTAGCAGAAAACGTCCAGGCCAACTGGCAAGTGAGGTACTGCTCCACCGTAGCAATACCAGACCCCATATACCCCAAGCAACCCAAGAGAGAATTCAAGAACTACAGTAGAAACTTCTTGAATATCAGCCTTAAAGCTCAGACTTGGCCCCTAGTGACTACCATCTGTTTGGTCCGCTAGAACCACCTTGGCGGCAAACGTTTCCCTGAAGACGAAGAGGCTGAAACGGAGGTGCGGAAGTGGCTGAGACAACAGTATGAAGATTTAAATGCTGCGGGTTTCGATCTACTGGTTAAACGATGGGACAACTATATCAGTGTTGGTGGAGGATATGTCGAGAAATAAATGTTTTTTTTTCTTAAGTTCGAATATCGCATGTTCTACGTTTTATGTCTGTTTGCGACCTAGTTACTGACTCTCCTTCTTGCGTTAAAGTAGAAGCCCGAAATCCGTTCCTACCAACCTTTTCAGTAAATAACTAGATGCCCTTATCCACAGAATGTAGAAATAATAGACATATTCGCTAAAAAGAATTAGAAATTACAGCGCCTATTGGCGAAGGTAAAGCTGTCCCTATGCTAAACTAATTAAGCACTACGCCATGAAGACGTATGGGGAAGTGGATGTATAGATTCACATTCTCTTGAACTCGGCACTAGTTGGAGGTGAGTGGTTAGCTTCACGCCCCGGCTGCTTTACCCCTGGGAAAGAGCCCCCGGTACTCATTGTATAGGAGGTTGGGTGGATCCCAGAGCCGGTGTACACGGCGTGGAGAAGAGAAAATTCTTGACCCTATGGGACTCGAACTCCGATCTCTCGGTCGTCCAGCCAATAGCCAGTCGGTATACTTACTACGTTATCCCGGTACTGCCTCTTGGCACAGATCCGAATCTAATACTTAGGCAGTGTACGCCCCAGATTCAGACCTCAGCGAAAATAACCACAGTCAGATACTGGGGAGTTGCCGCATTCCATGAAGGTTATAGTATCTCCATGGCATAGGAAATCTGGCGTTAAGAATGGTCGAACTCACGGTAGCTGGCATTTTCCTAGTCCCTTCTTCGGGGAAACTTTCGTGAGTACTTGAGTGCAAGAAACGACCTAAATTCATTCATACCGTGGAAAATATAGCAACGCATGACGTTTTCGCCGTTTGTCCTCGGATAGTTCAAATTAACTGAGTGACTATTCCATTTATATTATTTTTATACATTTATTTATAATTACTTAATTTTATATGTTTATAAATGTAAATATTTTATGTTCATTCGGCCATAGCCCATAGTTATGACTCTTACAACGCCATATTGATTTGCCTCATATGGACTTTGCGATGTTTCAGTGTAAATTTTTGAGAATTGAAGGCGTCAGCCTGTCGGCTTTTGACAGGTTTGTGTGACCATTAACTTTCGAATTCGAAAGCGACATTCCTGCCATCTGAATGATTTCCATCCTTTAGAAATATTATTTTAAATGACAGCCAAGCAAATTTGTATTAGAGTAATTATCAAGTGTCTGCCTAGTTTCATTCTGACCTGTCAGTTAAGAGAACTGCAAACTTTCTGAAACATATCGCGTTTGAATTTAAAGCGTTGCGTCTCGACATTCTAGCTCTGGAAACTGAAATTTAAGTTGAGTCGTATGTTGGATCAGTGCAGACGTTGGTTACAAGTGCTACCATGTCAAGTTTCGAGTTCACCCAAAAAGTTCTAAATCGTTAATTAAACTTACTTTTTCCTTCATTTGGCGCTACAGCCCCAATTTTGACCTTGACATACCTCCATGAAACTCTCCGTTTCACTTCGTTTTACTAGATCTTCGACATTCGGTAGGATTCCTTGGGCGGGTGATCTGCCCGCGGCGAGGCCTCTACCTGTACACGAACACAGAAAACGCGCGCGCACACACACACACACACAAACAATGAACATCCATGCCCTGAGTGGGATTCGAACCCATGATCCCGGCTTCCGAGCGAGCGAAAACAGTGCATGCCTTAGATCGCTCAGATACCGTGACCGGTTAAAGTTACACATATCATTTGATATTTCAATTAATTAAGTTTCATAAGCAGAACTCTTATTTTTAATACATAATTTAGAACTTCGAAACTTACGGCAACATGTGAGTATAGCAGTGAATAGCGTTGTGTCTCCATGATACATTCTAGTGGCTAATGAATTAATCTCTGTCCATGAATAATGGAGATTTTAGCCGTTTTTATGATCCTTGAGAGTCTCATATTCTCCAGGTTCCCAGTTCGCCTTATTATACTTCGTTTTACCAATTTTAATTAATGCCTATTAAGTATTAATCCTAATAACTGTAAAAAAATAGAAGTGAATAAAATGTGTGCTGTCAGGTTATCGTAAATTTTCTTCAAAAGAGAAAGAAAGAGATGTTATGAAAGCCGAATAAAATTATGAAAGAAAGTGTAAGTTTCATGTGGAGAAAAGTACACAAATGCCAAACAACAAACATGGCTGGAATAGAAGTTTCAAGTTAATTCCTGTTTATCTGGTTTGACACGATATGCTCTTGTGACACTGAATTGCACGGAATGTTCTTGCTCCGCAAGCACAAATTCGAGGCACAGTGTTCTGTACAATGGCGTCCAGCGGAACCGAAAGAGAGCAGTGTCGCAGATTATATTAAAGATGTCACTGCCTTTCCTTCAGCCACATCAGTAATGGCGATAAAATTTTGTTTGCAACGTTCAAACTGAGTCCTTGGATGCAAGTTCATTAGAGTACCTCATTTAGTTTGCATATATCTCATCCTCACTTTTACTTCAAACTACAGCAAGAATATCTTTGAACTGCCATTTTTCTCAGTCAACCTCAGAAACTGAAACAGTAATATTTCGTCCAACTTTATCTGGTGGTTGTGATTCATCAGATTTTTTGTGTGCTTTACCAACCTTGTTAAACTGGACTTTCTATTCTGCCAGTGATGCACATCATACCGTCACATAAATTTAATTTACAATAAGTTATAGTCAATTTCATGAGTAAATAAAATTTGTGTGATCGTATACTCTAAACTATTTTTAGATTTACACAAGCGGGACGCAGTATAATTATATTAATTATATTCTGTCGATCTGATTTAATTTCTTCTTTCTTATCACTGTTGACACATTTAATCTTGAGTCACTTCGTAGTTAGTCTCACCCACTACTTAATATTGTACACTAGTGGCACATATTATGCACTGTTTTTTTTTGCAATGTCTAGAGCTGATTGTTAGAAACAAATATATCCTCGCAGTTCCTTCCAAATCATTGTCCTCTTTGGTGATGTTGTCTACTTGACCTTCTCGAAAAATATCAGAATGCCAACTTTTAATTCGGTTTATAGCTAGATCTACAATAATTTCTTGTTCTTACTAGGGAATATCTGCTTTGTCTAATGTGCTCAGGGATTTCTAGGGCTACTAGAACTGGTAATACGTACATATTAGAATAAATCGAAACTCAACCCGTTCCGTGATATTTTCAGAACGAAGATGGCGGGGCGGAAAATAACCTGAATGTGCTCAACACGGCGCGTCGGAAATGGCGTCTCAGTGAGTCGCGTGGCTCAACTTCAGGGACCATGCAGCCCGACGCCAATGAAGGCCTGAGAGAAATTTTGTTTCGGTTGGCCTACAAGCAATTGGCTGAGGGTGAGTGGAGGCGCCTCGCACACCACTGGGCCTTCACTGGAGAGCAGATCAAAGCGATAGAGCATCAGTACACAGGTATGCGGTGGCTAGAAAGTTTTGATGCTGTCGTCTTTTGTCTCACACTAGCTAGTCGTCACTGGACATTACATATGTGTAAAGGCAAAATTCATATCATTTCTTCATATGTACATAGTATCTACAAATGTTTAAAATAAAAATCTGAAATACTAATGAGGCTGAGGTTTATGGAACGTTCCCATTTTTGTTGGACCAAGATGATCTTCTAGAAATACTAATTCACTTGATTACATATTGTCACATATTTAGGGGGGTGTGACTATGGATGGGGTATGGTTTAGTGAATGGATTTATTGACCACTTGTATACACCATTCGGAACTAAAAGTAATTGCAGCCCTATCGCTGATCTCCATACTTTGTCTATCACTGACACATACAGACTAGTGTCCTCAGTCTATTACAGTCTCCACTAGCCATTCCTTGGCAACAGCTTCTACCAAGGGACACCCTTCAGCTTCCTGCACTCACATCCTCTTGTCATAGCCACCCATACAGAACTCTTATCGACTGACAACTCAACTGAGTCCCAGCCTGGCAGCCACTTCACACCAACCTCATAGTCTTCTTGCAGGCTGACTTCCAATTGACATGTGACTACTGACAACTGAACTCTTTCACCAACCAGCTACTTCACATCACTTCACTCAACTGAACAACTGACAACTTCAATGAACAGCTAACTTGTTGCTTCAGACTATCCTGCTTATAAAATCTCGGTATGAGCCATATAGAAAACATCTTTTCCGTTGTCATAACCTAACAATACCTCGACCATTGCATAGAAATAGGTGTTTGTTTAGGTGCCTATTGCATAAAAGCTGCTGTATTTGTTGTCTGTTTCGAGGACTCTTACCAGCAACAGGGCTGTACACCACAATATTTAATAGCCTAATGATGACCTTTAAGGTCTAATTATGTTACTAGAAGAATTAAAATGTATATAATTTACAATATGTAAAATTGCTTATGATGACATAAGAAAGGAAAGAAAGCCTGACATAAAAGAAAAGAGAGTCTAAATCACACCCCAAGAAAATAACACAAAACAACAGTCTCAGAAACAAAATACTCGCATACTCAGCAAGAAAAATCAAAGCAAACCCACCCACACCATACTCAATATTAAAAGCAGACACCAATTCAGATTCACCTTCAGCAAAATCAAAAGGAGTGCGATTATGATGATGACATAAGCTCTCATCATAGATGTAAATTGATGTAATGAATGTTAAAATTGGTGCCCCTAAGCGTGTATGTACTTTTTGTACCAGTCCAAGCAAGAGAATTTAACTATTTTTAACATTGCAGTATTGATACTATCACATCCCGATGTTCTCTTGTCCTGCAGTTCATCAATATTTCCCAGTATATTGACATAAACAGTGGATTTCAGTTGTCTCCAAAGATAAAATTGGGAGTTCTGAGGTGCAGAGACCTGGTTGGCCACTGAGCTGGACCTCTCTGCCCTATCCACTTGCCTGGGATTCTCTAGGACAGGAACTGAGACACAACAACTGCAAAGTGAGGGAGACCTCATCTGTTGCAAGCAGACCTTTCTTTGGCATGCCGAGGACATGACTTACAAGAATTTCAAAGACAGTTGTTAGCAGCATATTTAGATTGATTGTGCCCATGGCAGTTTCATCGCAGAAGTCTAGAGACAAATGATCCCGTCATTCCAGATGTCACCACATGTGGATCATTTTGCACTTGGGTGTCATCCATCTTACATGGGTATTCATATGAAGAGTAACAAGATATGTGTCCCTTCACATGACGACTCAGATGAAGAATTGCCTCTTCACAGCACATTCCTCTGAGATCAATTTCTCTGGACTCAGGAAACATTCTCAGAACACCAGTATTATCACCTTATAGCTCCTGCACCAAATGCCTCATGTTATAGTGAAAATGATATGTCTTTAGCATCCTCTCAGTGGACCTATGTGTCACTCCTGTCTATTGCGTAAATTTTTGTGTCGACTTCTTTGTGCTGATGGCATGTGGAAACAGCACCATTGATATTGTCTTTTCATTTGTCAGTATTACAAATTTCTCTACTTCAGGAGCAACTATAAGGATTTCCTGAATGTTATAATTTCTGCAGGAGTGTCAGTATGGATGACTGGTTAAACATCTTGTGATTTGGTTGCTTGTCATTATATTCAGTAGCATGCTGGTAAAGTTCAAACTCTTCATACATCAATATCAGATCCACTTTGTCTTCAGTAATAATGACTGTCCCATTTCCCTACATTACCTGCAAAAAAACGATAAACTTCTATGATGCAGAACTTTTAGCCTGTCTGTATAGTGTATATTTACATATATTGAATATATATACAGTTAGATTTATCCCTGTGCTTAATGAGCACCATGCCATGAAGTCATATGGGGTGTGGGTTTATACTTCCACATATTCTTATTCTCGGAGGTAAGTGATCAGCATCACACCTCAGCCATTTTACCCCAGGGAATGGGTCCCCAGTACCCATTGGATAAGAAGCCTGTTGGGCCTCCAAGTCGGTCTGGATGCCGCAGGGAAGGGAAGAAACTCTTTCTCTGCCTGGAATAAAAACAGGAGTACCCATTCTCAAAGTCCATAGCTTAGTCACTCTCTGGGTGGGCTAGGCTGGCTTCAGAAATAAGTTCGATGTCAAATTCTAGTATGCAATTGTGAAAGGCTGAAGCCACTTCCAAGATCTAGACATAGATGAAAAAAAAAACTGAATTGGATTTTAAACATGGGTTGGAGGATGTGGAATGAAAGGTTCAGTGGCGGACTCTTGTGAACACAGACTTTCAGGTTTCATGTAAGGCAGAGAATTTCTTGATTTCCAACTCAGAGACTACTGCTCTGTGGAGTTTGGCAGACCTAATTATAAAATTTGTGTTATAACCCCCCCTTGAACGTTAAATTAAAAAAAGAAACTACATTTTCTAAGTTTATGTCAGCAAACATGAGTCATGGGAAGACAACATCAGTAAAGTGGGACAGTGGACGAAAATCAACACTTACAGAAAGGGATCATCATACATTGAACAGGCTGGTTTGAAAAATCACAGAACTACTGCAGTGCAGATAACAGCAGAACTGAATGTTCATCTTGGCAACCCTGTTTCCACAAAAGCTGCTCCACGTGAGCTTCATGCTGTTCCTTACATCAGGAAGAGCTTATGTTCGGAGAACATGCAAGGAACCCTACAATCCAGAATGCCTGGTTCCGGGAGGTTTTGTGTTGGTCTGATCACATAATTACCCATCATGACCGAATTACTGCAAGGGAGTATGTGGACAGGCTGGTTAAGCTGGTGCATTCCATGATCGAGATGTTAGTTCCAAAGGAAGATGGGAGTTTTCCAAGATGACAGTGCCCCCATTCATATAGCTGAACTGTTCATATACATGTCTCAGTATCATTTTGTCAGACCCCATTTGTAATATGGGTTCTTTTTTCATATCCTGAGTTATGTATGCATGTCCGAAACTATTGGATTTAGGTTTCCATTGATCACTGCACTGGAGACGGTAGATTCCTGCCCTGGCCTCTGTCTCCAACTGTATATGCAGTGGGGAGAGTCCAAGGAGTGTCTCCAGTACAGCTGTTGGAGATGTTTGAATTGTTCCTGTGATACCCAAGCAAGCCAACCTTTGCAATTTGCTAAGTTCTGCCTTGCTTGTCTTGAATTTAACTCTGGGCCACCATACTGTGGCACTGTATGTAATTATGGGCCTTACAACCGCAGTGTATATCCAATGCACAGTGTGCGGTTGCAGTCCCCAAGTTTTACCAAACATGCTTCTGCATGTCCAAAAAGCCTTATAGGCTTTATTGATAACCTTGGCCGGCTGCTTTTTCCATGTCAGTCCCTTGTCTAATACTAGACCAAGGTACTTGACATTGCTGGAGAGTTGGATTGTCTTACTGAAGAGGGTCGGTTCCTTAAGGCCCTCTATATGTCTGTTCTTGGTAAACGGTATAATTATCGTCTTATTAGGATTGATGGAAAGGCTTGTTCTTTCACACCATCGTTGGACCATGTACAGAGCTGTTTGAAGACACTCTGATACTGTCGAAAGGAATTTTCCATTTATGAGAATTGCTATGTCATCAGCATATCCTACTGTATAATATCCATCATCATTAAGTCCCCACAAGAGATTGTCAATGACCAGGCTCCACAGCAGAGGCAAGATCACGCCCCCCTGCAGACACCCCCTAGAAGCGGACACCCCCAGGGTCTCTCCTGATAGTGAGAAAACATTTAATACATTTCTAATGTGGAACCTGATGTTGGTCCACAAGTGTACAGTCTGTGAATGGTATTTTCTCAAACCACCAAACACGAAAATAAATATATTTTATTAACAGCTAAGCACTAGATAAAAATATTTATTGCCCCCAGTTGACAACCATATATAAGTTATAACAATTTCTTCTTTTAAATTTCATACAAAACAACCTGGGCACTGGATGGAGACAAGTAGTCAGTTCCACACCCTGGCCTCTGTGTCCCCAGGAAAGGAACATACACGTACATAACCACTGGGTACGAGGAACCATCAGCCCTAGAATCACTCTGGATGCTTTGGAGAACAGAAAAATATCTGCTGCTACCAGAAATTAAATCCTGATTCCACAATCATCCAGCCTATAGTCAAGTCACTATAAAAACTGAGCTAATTGAAACAAGTAATTTATTCTTTTCTAGAGAACACAATTATGGAAGACATGGATATTTGTTTCCTTATGACACATCACCACACTGAGGAATATTGTGAAAATATACAGTATTGAAAAATAAAATAATCATTTTACCTTCTTTACCATCTTTTTACGTTCACAGGTCCCTCCAGTTACAAGGAACATGGCTTCCGCATGCTGTTGATCTGGGCACATGGACTTGGGCCTGAAGTGAATCCAGTTAAAGAACTCTATGAAAGCCTTACTGCTATTGGCAAAAAAGGTGTTGCTGGTAGGTCATTCAGCAAGTTAAGTCTAATTTTATCAAGACCTATAGTAATACTAACACTCGCTGTGTCTCTCATTTTTTGGTCTGTCTCTGTCTCTGTCTATGACTATCTCCATGTATGTTTATCTGTCTCTCTCTGTGTCTGTTTCCCTCTGGGTTTGTCTGTGTCTGTTTGTCAGCACATCTCCCTCAATATTTCTCTCCCTCTTTCAGCATGTTTGCATGTCTCTGAGTCCACCTCTCTGTCTCACTGTGTGCAAATGTTTCTCCCTGTCTGAGCGGCCTCCGTAGTCTAGGGGTAACGTTCCCACCTCATGACTCAAGGTACGTGGGTTCAAACCCGGTGGAGGTCGTGGAATTTTTAAGGGCGGTAAAATTCAGGGAACAAGTCCTCCGGGAGGGACTTTAAGCTGTGGGTCCCGTGTCATAGCTTTACAGCAAGTAAAAGAACCTCATGTCTCCAAAGGAGGCCACTGAACGAAATTAAGGACATTTCCCGCCCAACAGTAGTCCCTGACACCTCTGGTAGATGGGGGAAGCATCGAGATACCTCTGAGCCGGTAGAGGCCGACCTTGCTATCTGAGTAGGTACTGATGGTAAGCACCAGTACCGGTAGGGTACAGAGGCTGGTAGAAGATCATAAGGGGACGCACAATAGATCAAACTGGTCGCGGTGCATGGGGAAACCCACCCCCTCCAATAACAACAACAACAACATAATGTTTCTCCCTGTCTGTCTCTGCATATCTGTTTTCTTTGTCTGGTTCTGTATGTGTCTTTCTCTATCTGTATCTTGTCTTTTCTTTTGTCCACTTCGATTTCTCTTTCTTTGTCTGTGTGTGTGTTTGTGAGTGCATTTGCGTGTGTGTGTCAATGTCCGTGTCTGTGTCCCTATATCTTTGACAGTTATGTGTTGGTCTTTCAAAATTGTGCCTTTCTCCTTGTCTTCATCTGTCACTGTGTCCACATGTGTGCATGTACATCCCTGTCTTTGTCTGTCTCTGTGTGTATGTCTGTGTCTTTCTGTGAGAATATTTGTGCCTATCTCTATGTGTATATCTGTGCATCTTTCTTCATAGATGTATGTGCCTGGCTGTCTGTATGTCTGTCACTCCCTATGTCTTTTCTTTGCCCCTTTCTTTATGTAGCTCTCTTTTTCTTTCAACATTTGTCTTTCTCTCTATGTCTGATATTTTATCTCTATCTGTATGCATCTCTTCCTATATCTGTTATTCTGTATGCCTCCGTCATTATTGAATCCTGTTGTAGTACATAACTACAAAAATAATACTACACAAACATAGGACTATCTGGAGGGTAGTGTATGTTTAAGTCAGGTTGGTAGTTGCACTGGCAAGAAACTCTTGAGTTTCCAGGAACATTATCACCTGAGAAAGTCATGTTGTGATTTTGACCAGGGTCTGTGTTTCAGTCATGGTGGCAGCCAGTTTAATCAATTCCTAAAACAGTATTTAGTAACATGCAACATTTAGTTGCATTGGTACTTTAGTACTCTCTTGCACATACTCCTCAAGGAAGATAAAAGGAGGAACATAAATAAAGCCATTTGAATATGGTTGCAACATTCATAAACTATAATAATCCAGAGTATCAACTTGGAATGTAATCCTACTTTTACTTTCATATTACCTGCACAGCCCAGGTATTCATTGTTAAAATTAATTTTGAATGGCAATAGATTACCAAAGTAACCTTGGAATCTAATATAGTAACATCTTCAGAAGAGCTGTAATATCTTTCTCCTATATCTGTCTGTTTCAGATACACTGCGAAAAAAATTGGATGAGGAGAATCAGGGAAAGTACAAGAAGGAGAGAAGAAGATGCAGTGCTTGCAGTATCACATAGCCTCCATTTATCCTTACCACTGGCCTTCACGTTTTGCCATAGATATTATCAAATTCAAACTGGAACATAACGTGGTCTTGGACAACTGGGCACCTCACAGCTTCTGTCATATCTGGACATTGAAATCTGCATTCTCCCAACCTTCCCTACATTGCACTTGTTCGTTGTGCTTTGTACACAGAAATGTGCATGACATACCCAACATAAATTGACATACGTCTTACTATATCCGCTCTAACTGTCCATCGAACATATCAATATAGTTGCATTTTGCTAGAATCCAATAAGAAAAGAAATTCTTTCATTCCAGCACAATGTGTCACGTATACATGATACATTTTGTACTTAAATTATTTGTAAAGTATCTTATTTGAGAATAATGCATTTGCAAAGAAGAGTCGTCTTCCTTGTCAGCCAAATGTGAATGTTTGTACTACATTATGTGCGAAAATATATATATGATAAAAGAAGAAGAATGCTTCTTGATTGTTCCTTACACACAGTTAAAAAATGAAGACCTATAAAAATGGCACTTATACTTCAAAAAAACTAATCAGATCACAAAACACAGAAAGCCCCACAGTCTGCCTGAGTGCACCTAATAGATGTCAGGAAGACAAATGATAAACTGGTACCCAACATAAAAGAATTATATTGTAATGGACAGAACTTTCACTGTCATTGTCATTGTCATTTATTTACAGTTCCAAAAAAATCCATAGAGGCATCTGCCTCAGATACAGAACAAGTCAATAATACAATATAACATATAAATATACATACATAATCAGACATTCATCATCGTCAAAATACTTACATGAATATCAGCTTCTCATTTCATTTCCTATAGTTTCACTCTTTCTTTTTATTGAAGAAAGCAAGACATATCACAGGAATTAACAAAGACTGGTCTTCACTTTCAGTGCAGTAACTTGATGCAACTCTCCTGCTTCTTGCTGAAGATAGAGGCAGGTCATGCCTTCATAAGTTCAGTGAACCTCTGTCATACTACTTGTCATTACATCCTAGAAGAGGGTACCTTTCAAATTAAATCTCATTTTATCAACAGCCATAGCACCATTTTCTTTTGTGCTGGGTCAAGTTTTGTACTACTGTGCTAAAGAATTAATTCTGTATCATTCAGCCAAATCAGATGTCAGCAGTTGGAAATTAAAGGAAATATTACTTTACTCAGAAAAATAGCACTGTACTAATTTTGGCCTTCCATTAGAACAATGTTATTTCCATATAGTGTAATAATCATGATTTTATAATAATTATTTTGTTATTTTATCTCTGTCATTCTATCACACTCAAGAATTACACAGTTTGTTTTCATTACCTTACAGACTGAGGAACATACGAGTAACATTGATCACATGTTACAATCCTGTAGTTAGGATACAGTTTAACCATAAATATTTTTGCAGAAGTCTCAAAGTATGTTGCAGCACTATGTATGTAGTCCTGTAGGTGTATATATATGTACTATCTTCAGCACTGAAGTTACTTTGTCCCTCAAGATGGAGGCTGCATATTCAAAACGTTGGTATCCACTTTTAAGGCTATGTGGTTTCACAACCCAAAGACCCATTAGAACATATGTTACCATAGAATGCAATATTCCTCTCAGCTAGATGAATTGCTGTTGCAGTACATCTTTTGAAAACACTTATGAGGGGCCACTGCATTTCAAGTGACATCTGAGAAAAACTGTTTATTGTATATTTAGTCTTTTACATAAATTTCCAAGTTTAACCACTGCCCAATTCAAGCAATATGGATGCAGATAACATTATGAGATTCTGGTACATTTAAATGTACTTAGATAATAGGCTGAAAAGCGTAATAACAAAACAGTGTGCATCGGCATTCAAGGAGTAAACTAACCAGCGACGTCCTACTTCTCAGCAATTCTTTATTAACTAACTGAGTTGCATGAAACGTTTTATCATGTAGTTTTCGTGAACAGGAATGTAAAGTAGTATCATACACAATTTTATATCCAACTCTTGCCACCATAGTATAGTCAAAGGATGCAGAACTTTCTATGTGTATTTTCAAATATGCACTTCAAGCTTTTTGTTCTGATCAGTGTAAGGCCTCTCTAGATCTGTTTTGTGATACTGAATCAATATACAATTACATAACATAGGTAAATATTTCGACTGAAAATGGATTAAATAATAGGAACGTGTATAAAATTGCACTCTTCATCGGATATAATTCGAATGATCAAGTCAGGGAGGATGCAATGGGCATGACATGTTGCCTGCACGGTGGAGGAGAAGACTGCACCTAGGGCTTTGGTGGGAAAGCCAGAAGGGAGGAGACCACTAAGACCTAGTCATTGGTCCACTATCGCGTGCCTATGCGTAATGGGTGCAAGAGGTATAGAACAATAGAGGGAAAATTATTGTGATGCTTACAGGAGCCCAATGCAGAGAGTAGTATCTCAACCTGACCCTTAAGTTACCATGGTATCGGCGGATGTAACCGTTGGTTCACATGATTGAAAAGATTGAAAAGATCCGTTTTCATTGGTTCTTATTTTTACCCAATATGGCCGGTTTGTGCTAGAGTAGTAAGTGAACTCTATATAGAAATATAAAAGAAATAATAATAGCATGAATAAGGTCAGAGAGCATATAATAATAGTTTGGAAGTAAGTAAGTGTTTTTATTTGCAAGATAAATTATTTAAGCTTCGATAGTACAGACAATATCCTGCTCACCCCACAGCAGCTAAAGTTCAAGGTCAAGTTTTGCTACACCCTAGAGGAATGTTACGCTGTTGACTACTTATATAAGATGTCAAGATGTAGTGTCTACCATACTTTGCTGCGTACGAAGAACTACAATGGAGAACCGCCCCTCCCACCCAAGAGAAATGTTAACAGCACTGTTAACCAGCACTTTGTTGTGATTAGAACAGTAGTGAAAGGGAAGTAGTTGAGAGTCGCTCTGAGAGATTTTTATTCGATGTTGGCAAGAATTTGATGGCATCGCAGTGGATAAATACAGCTCTTGATGATAATGAATTTAGCCAGCTGGAGCAAGGAGGTCCTGTGTGAACACTCAATTTTGGGTGAGGTTTTTGAAAATTGAAAATTTTGAATTCTAATTTTGATTGGATAATACAGTCGCGTGAAATGGATTAATATTCATGAGCTCTCTAGTGTACAGTAAGCACCATTGCTGCCAATGCTGGTAAATATAGTGTGCTTCAGAATTGAGTATTCTTTACATATTTTTTGCCCTTGTTTTCTGGGTTTGGGTGGCACAACTGAAAAAAAGAAAAACCATTCTCCATGGTGAAGGACGCTGTTCAGCGTGAAGCGAGCAAGTAACATACAGGAATTCCTTTCATGCCCCTTGTATATCACATGTGAGAAGCTCAACTTCTTACCAAGGAAGGACCACCCAAGATCCCTTCCCCTTGTACGGCCATTGCACACCAGTCATGAGGTAATCAAGGTGAGTCTCATTTGAGAGGAACATTATTGGTAGGATGTTGGGAACAAGCAGTGGAAGAGGCATCAACATGATGTGGATTATAGGAGAATTATAATTTTGTGATTTTTGGCAGCCTTGGAGAAGCATTAATGGAGGAACGCTGTCTCAGCTGTCAGCGGGTGTGCTTCGGTCTGGGCTTGACAAGGAGGATAGAAGAAGGGCCCCCCTCCCTTCTGCATTCCATTTGCATGGAAGGAAGGTCACTGGGAGACAGCAGCATGGAGTCTGTGAAGAAAAGGTGTGTGTAGGCCGCGCCATAGCTCAAGCCGTTAATCACTGGCTTCCCACCGCGGTGGCCCAGGTTCGATTCCTGGTCTGGTAAAGTGGGATTTGTGGTGGACAAAATGGCGCTGGATCAGGTTTTCACTGAGTACTTCAGTTTCACATGCCAATCTTTATTCCACCAATTGCTCCACAATCACCCTCACCTATCATCTGTGGCTGGTACAATAGGCCAGAAGTGACCGCAGTACAAGGGACTTAGTCCCACCCCACTAGCAATAAAAAAAAAGTGTGTGTTGTCTCTGAAGCAGTGAGTTTTTAGGATTCCATAGCACTGAAGATTTATATTGTGATCATGTGGGTCAGGACACGATGTCGCTGTACATATGGGTGTTAGCTGGAAGCTGCAGTCAATTATGTTACTCTTGTAGGACTACATGATTCCCCAACCCACAAGATCACAACACAGTGGGGTATGCTGTTTATAGGCGGGAGTAACTGTGACTTTCTTAGATCACATGTTACAGGTAGTAATGACACCATCCTCTATGAGGTTGGCTGAACTACGGCTGTGTCTTTGGTGGGGACGCATCATGGACCAGGGATGCGTTGGGACACAGCCTTGGGACACCTCCTCGTGGTCCCGCTGGGCAACGACAGTCTTGGGGTCTGGATTACTATGACCAACCGGGACTGGCGGCCAAGTTCCCATAAAGGGCAATGGCATTATGGCCGGAGCCTCCCACGCGGCGGCATAATGACTCTTGGGTATCACTACGGTCTACCCAAGATGAATGCGGGAGACCACTCCTATGGGGGTAGCTTCGGCTATTTGAGTTGTCTCCCTAGAGTACCGATAAGGTGCCGCAAGCCTTCGGGCTCAACACTCTAAAACGGTCTGACCAACCCATGTGGAGGGGGGGAATGGGGGAGCTCATAAGCCACCCCCAGGGGCGACTCTCATGTAGGTTGCCCTGGTCGCAACCTCATGACTAGCTGGTGTTGCACTCCCATCAATCATCTGGGATACCCCTCTCCCCCTGAACAGGCACTCTTGGTCCTGGAGGCTTGTGAGGGTTTCATTCACAAAAGGACCCAACCACCTAAGCCTAGGTGTGAGGCATCGTGCTGAGGGCTGCGTGGCACTGGGGTGGTTATTAGCCAGTGTCGTGAACGATCCCCTCGGGGCACCAGGCAGCACCCCGTTGTATTCATGCCTTCCACCCGTATGGGGCACTGCGGGTGGTGACCTTCTATATCCCCATGACTCGTGGGACCAAAATGAAAGGTACCAAAATAAAAACCGGTCGTATGGACCTTAAACAGAAGTGTGACTCCCCTCCAGGGGGATCCCTACAAGAAATACTTCAGCAGGGAGCCAGAAGCTCTGGTGCACCGTTAAGGTGCACAGTTGCAACCAGCGAACCTGCTGTTGAAATTTCAGCCAAAGGCAGGGATGAACCACTGGTTCAAAACCTGCCCGAGGCAAAACCAGAAACCACTCCCTTGGGAGTCAGTAGTACTGACATACCACTGCAGGGAGCTAGTACATCTAGCATACCTACAGTAGGAGAAGGTCTGGGACCCCAAGTCCCTGTAGTAAGTGGATTCCGTCTGGTGAAGAAGCTGTCCGGATGCGCCAAACGGAAACTTAAAAAGGCAAGAGCTAGGGCAAGCGAAGCAGGAACTGGGGGCATTCAGCAACCAGGAAACTCTGGTGCACCGTTAAGGGGCCTGGTTGCATCCAGCAAACCTGCTGTTGAAATTTCAGCCAAAGGCAGGGATGAACCAGTGGTTCAAAACCTGCCCGAGGCAAAACCAGAAACCACTCCCTTGGGAGTCAGTAGTACTGACATACCACTGCAGGGAGCTAGTACATCTAGCATACCTACAGTAGGAGAAGGTCTGGGACCCCAAGTCCCTGTAGTAAGTGGATTCCGTCTGGTGAAGAAGCTGTCCGGATGCGCCAGACGGAAACGCAAAATGGCAAGAGCTAGGCCAAGCGAAGCTGGAACTGGGGGCATTCAGCAACCAGGAATTGCAGCCTCGCCCAAGCAGGGAGAAACCCCTACCGGGACCTTTAAGAGGCCAAGGTCAGAGGAGAGAACCCCAACAGAAATGGCCAGAGCTCTGAAAAGGTCCAGGGACGCTAAGGGACCAGAGACCTACAATGAGACTGTGACCAACATAAAGGTAGCTATCTTCAGGGAAACATATCCTGAAGATAAGCTAACAGAAGGTGACCAGAACTCCATTCTGGATGTACTGGGAGGGGTGTTACGTAGGACTCCATCCAGAGAACTACCACACCTGAAGTCCCACAGGCTGGAGGGAGGTGCACTTATTTATATATGCGCCGACCAGCAGTCTGGTCAGTGGCTTATCAAAGCCATTGACAATTACAGGCTGGAGTCAGGGGCCAGGCTGAAGGCTACTGATGCCATAAAACTACCCAAACCAGTTAAAGTGGCTATCAAGACTTGGGACAAAGTTGCCCAGAATCAGGAAGAGTTACTGAATTGGATTGCACATCTTAATCCAGGACTCCATACTGAGCGCTGGAGAGTACTTGATACGCAATCTGAGCCAAAAGGCCAGAGGCTTATCTTACTTATAGACCGGGACTCGTATACCACTATACAGAGGACCGGATATAAGTTATTTACAGGGCTCTCACAGTCTACTGTTAAAGTGCTGAAAGACCCTGAGGCTCACCAACAGGAAACTGTGATAGACACAGCATCTTCAGAATCGGGCTCTGAGGGGGAGGGGGATGGTGTACCCACTCCTTCAGACCAAAGTAGAGCAGATCAGGGGACCCCTTCAAATGGAACCCAGTCTGAGACCAGGACAGAACAGTAATCACACACACACAGAGACACACATATAAACTTAAACACACACATACACATAAACATACACATACACAGTACACACACATAACATGAAATTCCTTCAAATTACACTAAACCACAGCAAAGCAGCCATGCTATATGCCAGCAGCTAGCTGAGGGAAAGGCAGATGTAGCACTTATTAAGGAACCTTGGTAATACAAGGGTCAAATAAGAGGTTTAACCTTTAACGGAGGAATGTTGTATATATATGAGGCAGGACACTGCTCCCTTTGGGAGTGCTGACAGTTTGATCTTGGGTTTGAAACCAAAGAAACTCCCCTCCCCCAAGATGATTCTTCAATCGCACAAGGCTAATAACACGGTCAGTGGCGTTTCTCAGGCGAGGCCAAGGTTATCTGGGGCCCAGCTGAGCCGACTGGAGCCGACACATTCACAACACTGGCCAACCAAAGGGAAACAAAGACGTCGTGTGTGTTCGCTAAATAAGAAAAGCAGGAACACCATCAGGTAAGTCCTCTGGAATTGCATAACATAATAAAGATTATATTTTACATTTCATGACAAAATAATCACAGTTAATTTTCGTTTATAAAAATTGCTCTTTTGTGTATATGTAGAAAATTTTATTGTCTTTCAGAATGTTTTTAGTTTGTATTTCTGTGTTTTATAGAATTGAATATATGTAGTCTTTTCTGAAAGTTTGCAATGTTAAAGACTTAGGGCAATTTAAATTCCGGCTGCAGAGGGGTGTCGGCAATTTAAAAGTCCATTCATTAAAGATTAATGCCTTACCTTTGCTGGGGCTATCTTCTAGGAATGGAACAGCGGTGATGATAACATACACATATCGAGGAGGTTGCATGGAGCTGACTGTTTCTTCAGTCTACCTTCCATGTGACTGAGATGAACCACCACCAACCAAGGAAATTAGGGACATCAACAGCTAACTTGTTGCTTCAGACTATCCTGCTTATAAAATCTCGGTATGAGCCATATAGAAAACATCTTTTCCGTTGTCATAACCTAACAATACCTCAACCATTGCATAGAAGCGGGTGTTTGTTTATGCACCTATTGCATAAAAGCGGCTGTATTTGTTGTCTGTTTTGAGGACTCTTACCAGCAACGGGGCTGTACAACACAATATTTAATAGCCTAATGATGACCTTTAAGGTCTAATTATGTTACTAGAAGAATTAAAATGTATATAATTTACAATATGTAAAGTTGCTTATGATGACATAAGAAAGGAAAGAAAGCCTGACATAAAAGAAAAGAGAGTCTAAATCACACCCCAAGAAAATAACACAAAACAACAGTCTCAGAAACAAAATACTCGCATACTCAGCAAGAAAAATCAAAGCAAACCCACCCACACCATACTCAATATTAAAAGCAGACACCAATTCAGATTCACCTTCAGCAAAATCAAAAGGAGTGCGATTATGATGATGACATAAGCTCTGCATCATAGATGTAAATTGATGTAATGAATGTTAAAATTGGTGCCCCTAAGCGTGTATGTACTTTTTGTACCAGTCCAAGCAAGAGAATTTAACTATTTTTAACATTGCAGTATTGATACTATCACATCCCGATGTTCTCTTGTCCTGCAGTTCATCAATATTTCCCAGTATATTGACATAAACAGTGGATTTCAGTTGTCTCCAAAGATAAAATTGGGAGTTCTGAGGTGCAGAGACCTGGTTGGCCACTGAGCTGGACCTCTCTGCCCTATCCACTTGCCTGGGATTCTCTAGGACAGGAACTGAGACAACAACTGCAAAGTGAGGGAGACCTCACCTGTTGCAAGCAGACCTTTCTTTGGCATGCCAAGGACATGGCTTACAAGAATTTCAAAGACAGTTGTTAGCAGCATATTTAGATTCATTGTGCCCATGATAGTTTCATCACAGAAGTTAATTTACACTTTCATTCTTCCCCCATGCACTCCTAAGAGCATCATATTCATAAATACTCTCATATAATTCTCAGTGCCTTATTGTCTGTGCAGGATGCTGAGGTCTCTTCTCTCTGTACATGGAGCAAATCCAGAGATGATAACAGTCTTTATTGATGGCTACTTTGAGGAACCGCTTGAGGTGACAAAACTCTTTGGACTGCGAGGAATTCAGCACACCAATTGGAGTTAAGAATGCCAGAATATCAAGGTACTACAAGGCTTCTCTGACAGCAACATTCAACATATTTCCCAATGCCAAATACATAATTATTGTGGAAGAAGATCTGAATGCGTCTCCAGACTTGTTCAAGTGAGAACTGGTACAGGTTTTGGTGTCTAGTGAAATGGGTAATGGCTGTGTAGAATATGAAAATGCTGTCACTACAGTAAACTCCTGGTTATTCTCCAGTATCCACCTGATAATGGTCATTCAATGACTGAAACATTTTGTAGAACTGACTGTACAATTAAAGTCTGTATGATTGTATACAGTTTTGTAGTGATCGTTTGTCTCCTATCCAGATTAAACCTTGAACAGTTTCAACCTGTGTGTGCCAGATGAAGGAGAATAAAATAAATGATAAATGATACAAACTCCGTCTCAAGTGCAAACAATATATTCTGTGTCTTTGATCTTGCTTCCTACACTACATGTTTCGGCCTCAGACGGCCATCATCAGGTGTATAACACGTCGCTGTCACACTGCACCCAGTTCAAAATTTAACATCTAAAACACTCTCCCTGTCATTATCAACTTCTACTTCGTTGATAGCTGTCCACCCGTAGATTACTTCACACACATTAATTTTGACTTTATTGTAATAGCACCATAATAAAATCTTTAGTTCTAATTTTAAACCTTTAAATTCTTGTCCAATAAAATAGGCTGGGCATGTAGCACTGTGAGATGGATGAATGCATTCAAATATAATAAAGGAAAAACATCGCTTGGGAGACCTAGAGGGAACATAAAATTGAAAAAGAAGTTTTGAGGTTGTACACTTGATTCAGGTGGTTCATGACAAGGTCCAGCTGCAAAATTGTATGAGTACTGTAATGAATACAGAGGTTAGAGAAGTTGGAAGTCGTTTTGTGGCCAGATGATAAGACTGTCAACTTTTCAAGGACTTTGCTCCATCAAGTTAATTCATTTTAATCCAAGGAATGGAATGTTTGCCAAATGTGTAAGCAGATTAATATGAATATTGGTACAGTGTGTACATTGCAGTTACTTCAGCCAGACTAAGAGACTGCTGGAGGAGGACGAGACACTTTACTGCATCTCTGCCTGGATTGACCAGGGTTATGAGCATGCAAGTGAAAATGCAGGTTACTGGGTTCTTCCCTAGAAGTTGGTACCTATTTGTAGCTCAGAAGTCCGCAAGCTTCTAGACTTCATGAAGCATATTTTTTTATGCTCTTATAATTCTTTGTGTTGCTTTTTATTGTATTTGTTGTCATTTTTGTTGTTTAGATGGGGAACTCTTATCAATTGGTGAATGCAGTTTCAACAGTTTGAGGCTTGGAATTATTTGTAATTAACTGGTCACTCGTGATAAATATATCTACTTAAATTAAGAAAGTGCTATAAATTCTTCCCAGAACAAATATTAATATTTTAGTGAGGTAAAATTTTGGCTTTTATATATTGCCATAATTTTATCTCAGTTACATGGATTACATTTTTGCGATCAAATAACTTTCTTGATCATAATGCCAGTGTAAGAATTACTTTTTGTGTTACATGTCCAGATATGGGAGTGGGATATGTGGATGCGGCTACCTGAGGTTCAGAAGGGCAGAGAGTGTGTGATTCCAGACGTGTCTCAGACGTACCATTTCGGTGCTTCAGGTCTGAACATGAATTCCTACTTCCAAGACGTCTACTTCAAGAAACATTCTTTCAATACCTTGCCGTATGTGAAGCTTAAACATGTTGACAGGTAATGCATATTGTTCTTAATTTAGTTGACATTCCTCTATAATGTATGGAAACGAATATTCATAATTGTTGTTACTGTGTAAGAAAGCAGTTTAGTTATAGTAGTAGTATTTAGAAGTGACAGTCCTCCGATGTGGAGTATGAGAAGTATTGGTAGTGGCGCGGAGAGCTCCAGCATGCTGACAAGTGTGGAGGGGAATGCAGTACAGGCATTTTCAAAAGGAAATAATTTCTTACCTCATTGTGTTGCATAGTGTTGGTGGTTTAGTCTTGATGATGTTCACACATCCAGTGTCAAGTTTTAAGTGCCGAATAGCAGACTATTATGCACTTTACTGTACACTATACACAATTATACGCTTTTCACTGTTATATACATGAAGAGTTTATTTACATATTACACAGGTCTGTTCTAAAAGGGGCAACACTGGCAATGTCCACATAGATATTGTAACGTGTTGCGTTACTGAAGATGGCCGTTTGGATTGTTAATTGGTTCATTTAACAACCTACAAGTCTCGGCTACAATTATTTATAACACATTTGTGGGGTTTCACACTTTATAACCCTATTCGCAAATCTATTCAGTCTGTCTTCAGTAGTCTACACGTATTCAGTACGGGAGCTATACAAGTGCAACTGTCTCACACACTCCCAATTACACAATTACACACACATCCGGTTCTTCTTTCCGCGAACGCTGGTAGACTCCAACTTTGGGCTGCTGACTGGAGAACTGTTTTCGGCCACTGATACACTTTAACTCTCTCTGGGGACGGCTACAAGTTAACTCCCTCCGGCAGCTGTGCAGTTCCCTTATATAGCCGCAGTGCTTGCCTGTTACATAAGCGAATGCCTTGTCACAGTAGGAACCGGTGCCACATTGCTGTGTTTGCGTATAGCCTAGCAACGCTGTTTACTCGCGCCTTGTTACATTACTGCGGAGGGGGGGGGATGGAGCGCTGACTCAACCGCCATGTCACTGTGGCCAGAGTGGCCACGTCACTGCTGGGTAGGGAGGGGTTGCCCTCCATTGTGCAACATGTCACACTATCATCTCCACATGCCTGTCCTTCCTTGTCACCACCAGATGAATCAGAGCTATCATCAGAACTTTCACCACTATCACTGCCAATTTGGAAGACAAACTCCTGTCCTGCGTCCAAAAGGCCTTCCCATGTCATTAATTTTTGCTCAATGTTCCTTACATGTTGGCACCTACATTGTCATTCTTCTGCAGTTATGGAAGCCAATTTTTGGTCTGCCAGTTTAATATCGTCATCCATCTTAAATGTATTATTATTTTGAGCAACCAAATTTTTTACTGTGGACCATATTAACTCAACTGGGTTGAGTTCTGGGTGATACGGAGGGAGTCGTAAAATATCGTGATTGTGTTCTGCAAAGTTTCCATCTATTTTATAGGAAAGGTATTTCGGATGATTGGTAGGATCATATTATATATGTCTGGATTCCACAATGATGAAAAATCAGTGTTATTGAAGGTAATATGTGGAAGGTGATATTTTAGCCATGATATCATAAAATCTCTTCTTGAATTAATTTGAGTTAGGGGCTCTGTTTAGTTGTACATTATGGTAGGGAGCATTATCAATGATTAGGACAGAATTTGGGGAAAGGTTAGGAATAAGTTGGTCCTTTAACCATTTTTCATAATTGGTGTAGTTCATGTCGCTGGTAGTCCCCTGTTTTTTGGTGGGATTTCAAGCGGACACAGGCCTTAGGGATGAAACCTTGCTCTACCCCTGCATGGATAACAATGAGCCGTTGGCCATAGGACACGGGAAAATAATCCCTGGATGGATCCATCACTCCATGCATATGAGTTGGTGTGCGATGGATGAATATAGGTTTCATCCATGTAGATGATTGGGCGGCCCTCTTCCCTATATTCTTTAATTTGCCGCAAATACTGAAGATGTTTGGCTCTGATATTATACTGTTCCACCAGTATCTGCCGATTATTTTTTGTTTTCTTCCAGCGGAACCCCAGTTTCAAAATAATTTTCTATAATGTGGAGATGCATCCCTGAAAATCTAACGTTTTCTTCAACTTTTCGTGAACTTTTTTCAGGGTAGGTCTCCGTTTTTCAACTATGTAGAAGTCATTAATTGTTCTTTGCACCACAGACTCGTTAAAGTCGTCCAAAGTGGCTAGTGGAGATTTCCTAGGTCTTTTTATGGGGTGTCAAAAAGGAAGTGGAAGCCCCAGATTCGATATTTTTTGTTTCTCTTATTATTCTTCTGACACTACTTTCCGATACACCTGTTACCTTTGCTACTTCCACTCCTATGTTCTTCGCTGTAATTGTTGGCCCAGCCTCCTTCATATACTTATATACATTACTAACAATTTCTCTTGATTGTGAATGCAACACTTTTCCACTCAATTTACTTCATGTAGGTGGCATGTTAAAGGAGATAGAAAAAATGTACAAATATAAATAACAAAAAAGAAAATCAACAAATAAGGATAAGCAATAAAATAGAGAATAATACACTCAAATACGACTCCAGGAGTCAAAACTTTTTGACTTGACTGTACAATGAAGAATGCTTATAACTGAACTTGAGACATCTGCTCGCACTGAAAACAAACGACTGACTAATCAGAACACCCCTCAACTTTCACGAATGGACCTGACCATCCACTGTGCAGCTTTTCCTGGACTGTCACTTCTAAATATCAGAACTATAATATGAAGCAAAAGATATAGACATTCATATTGAATTGAATTGAATTTATTTACATTCTATAAATCCTAAGCAGGTTAGTACCTTTGGATACAGAACATGTCAAAAGGTTACATACATAAGTACAGGCAATTTTAGCTTAAAAATTAATATAACTTAATTTTACATCATTCTCTATTTACATTGAAGTATTCATCTAAAGAGTAGAAGGAATGAGCATGTAGATAATTCTTTAACTCTGATTTAAACTTTTTAGTATCATTGCCCAAGTTTTTAATACTTTGTGGCAGATTGTTGAACACTTTTATGCCAGTAAAGTAGACTCCTTTTTGATATACTGATAAAGTTGATGAGGGTAGGTGGAAGTTATATTTTTGTCTAGTATTCATGTTATAGACATCAGAATTTAATTTGAATTTATCTTTGTTGTAAACAACAAATAAGAGAAGCGATAATATGTATTGCGATTGAAGAGGTAGAATTTTTAATTTCTTAAATAATTCTCTACATGAATCTCTACTTCTACATCCTGTAATGATTCTAATTATATTCTTTTGTATTTTAAAAATTATTACACTATGTGAAGAGTTCCCCCAAAATATTAATCCATAGTTCATAATAGAATGAAAGTAGGCATGGTAAACCATCTTCAATGTTTCCTGTGACATAAAAGGCTTAATTGATCTCATCGCATAGCAAGCTGCATTTAATTTAGGTATAATTTGTTCAATATGTATTTTCCAAGACAGTGTACTGTCTACATGTATTCCAAGGAATTTTGTATCAAGTACTTTACAGATTAATTTGTTGGCATAACTGATGTCCAGATCAATTTGGTGGTTGTTTTTAGTTGTGAATGATATGTAATGGGTTTTATCAAAATTTAATGAGAGTAAATTGGCTTTGAACCATCTGTTTAAGGCTTCAAATACAATATTTATGTCATTTTTAAAGTTGTCAAATTTAGAGTTCTTAAATATTATACTAGTGTCAGTACTATGTAAAGGAATACCTCAGTTCATCTTAACCAGGACGCTGTTAAGACTTCATAATTAGTCCAAATAACAGTTACATGAAATTCTGTTTGTCTGATTGTACAGTGAGGCCCCAGTGTAAGATTATCAGTGAACCAAAACTTTTCTTGTAGCACATTGAAATCTAGGTGAATGACATGTTTACTGTAATCAGTTTTTATTAAATCTGAATTGTTTCTTAGCATCACCCATCCAATTCATTAATGTAACAGATAAAATTGTAACTTTCTTGTCTGTTTCTTATAACAAATCTAATACATAACACCCGAAGGTATTAAGAATTTTACTCTGAATTTGTGCCAGTGTGTTGAATGGCTACAAATATTAAAGCAGTGTGCAAGGATGAATAAAGTTTTGGATAAAATTAGAATCCTCATACTCAGGTTTTAATGTGATGAGTATGCTTTATTAAGATATGAAGCATGTTCATCATATGTTTTTGTTATTTCACTGTTATCCCTTCTATGTAATTTTGGCTGCTATATATTGTGACATTGACAAGAAAAGTTACCATGTCCTGGACCATGAATGGGTACTTTTGTTTGTATAAACTAAACAGTTCAAATGAAAAACAAAGCCTCCCTTAATAGTTAAAAAAACAGAGCATTTATTGAAAAAATATCCTGAGCTAAAACCCAAGGGTTTCATAATGAAATGCATGAGTGTCATACATATGTATGTACAATAATTAACCTATTAATGATGATCTGTCAAGTTCGGTACAGTCACATAATCCAAACATTCCTTGAAATGCAGTTGGAAGTACCTCCTCGGCCAGAACATAACTCTAGTTATATCTCTAGTTGCATAAATAAATACGTGTAACAGGGATATTTTAAGTATAATTATCACATAGGAGAATATGACTTCAAGTTTGAAATGTATTGGTATGATATCATTATAACATTGTTGGTTATTCTTTGTACCAGTCTTTAGTTTCACCTTTTATAGTACTAGATTCTCTGTAAAATATCTTTTTGGGATGCCGAAAACATAAGCTTACAAAAGAAATGTCCTGTGTGAACAGTAAGGTCTCCAGTATAGTGTTCCTGTTGATAATCCTACATAGGTTACACAATTTAGTACCAAATTTCAAAAAAGCAAAAATGTATTTGTGTCTGTAAATCATGTTGAGCATGGGAGTGATGCACAATCAAAGATATTCTACTTTAGAGAAGTTATATCAGTTCACTGTAGAATTAAAATTATAGTGAGGAAGTTAGGTAATGAATTTTCTTTAGGTTTTCTTATGATAAATATTTAATATCTATTTCATGTATTTACAGCATAAACAAGAGCAATTGTGAAGAGTTAATTGTGGACATGTTCAAGAGAAGTCTTGTTTTGGATCACAGCAAATCACAATGTGAGGAGAACTTCATACCAGGCAAAAAGGTGAATATACTTACTGCAATATTTACAATACAGTATTTACTGCATCAGTTTTCTATTTTTTTCTAATATATTTAATCATTATTGTGTTTTACTTATTTTAAAAATTGTTCTACAACAATGGCCCATAGTCTCTGATATTTTCACCTGTTATGAAATACATTTGCTCACATGGTGATGTCTGTATTATAACACTGTGTTTTCTTGTAATGTTGGTGGTTACCAATGATTTGGAGGAAGAGGATTTAGCTTGAATATTCAACCCTGAGAATGGAAGTAGCCTGTTTTGCCGATACACTGGGACCAGCCTTCCAGATTAGAATGTGGTGTAACACAGACATCACAGAATGAATCTTCATTGCCGTGGAAACCTCAAACCATACAAATACGTACATGCATCTGTTTCTCATTACAACATGTTCATTATTTTAAGGCCAATTGAATATTTAATAAGGTGTAAGTTTTATATGTCTGTATATTTTCTTCTTTGTTTCAGGGTGAAATCATAATAATGTTCATCAAAATGGAAGGACCAAAAGACTTTGTAACGTGGCTGCAAGTAGCCAAGGTAATGGTTCAGACATGCTGTGCTGCTGGTAGAGAGAGCTAACCCTCCTCTCTCTCCCTTCTGCCACCAAACACGTCCTCCTCTTCCTACTTCCTTTTCCACCCTCTTCCTCCTTGTCACCCTATCTCCTCCACCCCATATTTCCTCCTCATTCACTTCCAACCTTCCCATTCTCCTTCTGACTTCTACCACATCATGCTCTTCCTCATGCCACTTCTTCATACCTCTTCTTTCCCCTGTTTCCACCAACCTCCTCCTCTTCACCCTACCTCCTCGATGAGTAAAGGTCATAACGTTCCTCTAGAGAGCAGCACCTCATAGTGCTTACTTATCCTACCATTTTTAGTACCCCATTACATATGTGCTGTATATTTGTAGTACATTCAAGTTATTGAAATTAGGTATTTGCAACAAAGCAGAACATAGTGAGCGTGCGTAGAAGGTGAGATTTTGCTCTGTATTCAGTCATTATATAAATTCCTATGTTGATGTTTCATTGGGCTTCATAGCATACTCGCGTAACGTTATTCTGCAAATTGTTTCAGTGCTTCAAGATCTGGGACCCTGATGTTCGAGGTTATCACAAGAGTATGTGGAGACTGCACATGAAGGGCAGTGAAATGCTTGTCATTGGAGTGCCAAACTCAGAGTATTCATAAGTAAGACTTCTAGAAACACAAATGTGAATACTGTAGTGCTAATACAAGTCTCAGTGAAATGATCAATCCTTTTGAGGGTCCATCATCATCATCATCATATCCTAATGTAGATTGTTACATTGTCATCAGAAGTTAACTAGTTTCCTTTTTCAGCACAGTTGGAACCTGAATCCTGTTATTGGAGATCTCACTTTCTTCATAAGGTTGCCTACCCAAGGTATGATGTATGGTCAGAGATGATTTGGACACTGTTTACCGTCTCTTTAAGTGAACTTTAGCGCCTCTGTTTCTTGGGCAGGTTCTTCTGTCATATTGGCTTTTAACCCTTTGACGTGGTCATTTAAATTCCGCGGCCGCGGCTCCTGCGGTAATATATTCAGCCGGCCATTTAAATTTTGCTCGAAAATTATTTATTCATCATTGTTCTTAAATTCTATGAGATAGGAACATGAAACTTTCACTAAAATGATCTTAAATGGTGGTTTTATAACCTTACCTTATAATATG